TTGTTCATTCTCCAAAGGATCAACCACTTGTGTCACCTGAGGCTCTCGCAGCATAATGTACAACTCAATAGAGTCGTACCCAGAATACGCATGGCTGGAAAACATATTCTGGATATCCTCGTCATCTTGAACTTCAACCTTATAAAAAATTATTTGGTTGTTTCCAAAAAAACTGGATTCTGATAAAATATCTGGGTCACCGGGCCTCGTCCAAGTTTGGCCTCCAATCGTTTTTTGAAGTACGAGAAATTGGCTTTCCCGTTTAAGAGAAATCGGATGTTGTCTGTGTCTCTAAACAAAAACCCAGCGGTGGGACAAATGTATGTCTCACCGTTGAAATGTGCTTTGACGACATATTGTGGTGCAGAGGCCATTGTGTAGGGTTGTTTGAAGGTTGGAATGTTTGAAGTTTATGAGTTATTCGAAGGTTGGAATGTTTGAAGTTTATTGATTGTATGAAGGTTTGAAGGTTGTAAAGTTTGAAGGTTGGAATGTTTGAAGTTTATGAGTTATTCGAAGGTTTGTATGTTTGATTGTTTGAAGGTTTGAAGGTTTGATTGTAAGAACGTTTGAAGGTTGGAAGATTTGACAGATTAAGTGAATCAATGTTATGATAAACGTAAGACTAAAAATCTCATACTGAATTTCAATTAAGTAAGGATGTAACCCCCAAGGCTGCCAATAGTGTTACATGCATGACATCCCAAAGGCTGACACATAGCCTGAGCCTAGCCTGCAACCAATAACACCTCTTATTCGCCAATTGGGATGGCGACACCTTTCATTTTTGTACTCTTTCTCCAAGTCCAATGGCGCCTCCCTTACTGTCCAATCGTGATACATGCATGCAGATATGTAACCCCCTAGGATGCCACCTAGCCTGCGCCTACTCTGCACCTACACTGTATCTTGTAAGTCTCCTCCCATCACCTCCAATAGGGTTACATGCATTCAGGCATGGCATCCCAAAGGCTGTCACGTAGCCTGAGCCTAGCCTGCAACCAATGACACCTCTTATTCGCCAATTGGGATGGCGACACCTTTCATTTTTGTACTCTTTCTCCAAGTCCAATGGCGCCTCCTTACTGTCCAATCGTGATACATGCATGCAGATATGTAACCCCCTAGGCTGCCACCTAGCATGCGCCTACTCTACACCTACACTATATCTTGTAAGTCTCCTCCCATCACCTCCAATAGGGTTACATGCATTTAGGCATGGCATCCCAAAGGCTGTCACGTAGCCTGAGCCTAGCCTGCAACCAATGACACCTCTTATTCGCCAATTTGGATGGCGACACCTTTCATTTTTGTACTCTTTCGCCAAGTCCAATGGTGCCTCCCTTACTGTCCAATCGTGATATATGCATTCAAATATGTAACCCCCTAGGCTGCCACCCAGCCTGCGCCTACTCTGCACCTACACTGTATCTTGTAAGTCTCCTCCCATCACCTCCAATAGGGTTACATGCATTCAGGTATGGCATCCCAAAGGCTGTCACGTAGCCTGAGCCTAGCCTGCAACCAATGACACCTCTTATTCGCCAATTGGGATGGCGACACCTTTCATTTTTGTACTTTTTCGCCAAGTCTAATGGCGCCTCCCTTACTGTCCAATCGTGATACATGCATGCAGATATGTAACCCCTTAGGCTGCCACCTAGCCCGCGCCTACTCTGCACCTACACTGTATCTTGTAAGTCTCCTCCCATCACCTCCAATAGGGTTACATGCATTCAGGCATGGCATCCCAAAGGCTGTCACGTAGCCTGAGCCTAGCCTGCAACCAATGACACCTCTTATTCGCCAATTGGGATGGCGACACCTTTCATTTTTGTACTCTTTCGCCAAGTCCAATGGCGCCTCCCTTACTGTCCAATCGTGTTACATCCTTAGGCTGCCACCTAGCCTGCAAGAGTGACACCTTTCATTTTTGTACATGCATGCAGATATGTAACCCCCTAGGCTGCCACCTAGCCTGCAAGAGTGACACTTCTCATGCATGCATGCACCAGCTACCACCTCACTCACTTTATGAAATTCTTTTGCCTATAAATACAGACCATATTATACATCTCTCACACCCACACAAGTCTCACTCTCTGCTACGAAATCTTTCATAATCTCTTACACTTTCTAAATCTTTCATAATCTCAAGCATTTTAAACAATGGCTCTTCTAACAATGGGCGATTCTCACAGAGGCATAAGGGAAAACATTGTCGCATTTGTAAGTTTCTATTTTGGTTATACATTTTTCATACTTCAGATAATGCTTTATTCATCTTACTTAATCTTACACCTTTTACATTATGAACTCAGGATACCAAAAGATTCAGAATCCGTTCTCACAACTACCTGGCTTCCGACCCATTTATTGTACCATATCTGGAATACGCAGGTTTTGGACATGTTATAAAGATCTCCAACTGCACAATTGATTCGAAGTTCATTCTTGCAATGTTGGAAAGGTGGAGACCAGAGACCCATACATTTCACCTACCAATAGGTGAATGTACCGTCACTCTAGAGGATGTGTACATGTTACTAGGTCTCCCTGTCGATGATAAGGCTGTGAACGGGTCGGTTTAACAACCCAACTCTCAGTGTGAAGAACTGTTGGGCAGGGATATGGTAGAAGGTGGTGGTGCGAGAGGTCAGAGAATACTACTCACTGAGCTTAAAAGTCATTATGCAAGTTTGGAATTAAACGAAAATTCCTCCAAGCAAGACAGGGTAGTAAAAGCCAGAACTTATCTTATGATACTATTTGGTACCTTTTTATTTCCCGAAAGTACGGGAAATAGTGTAAATTTTATGTATTTACATTTACTTAGAGATTTTGAAAAAACAAGAAAGTATAGTTGGGGTTCTGCAGTTTTAGCCCACCTATACAGTTCCTTGTGCAAAAATGCAGTCAAGGAAAAATGTACATTTTATTGGTGCACTTTTTTACTACAAGCCTGGGGTTGGTGGAGGATGGAGTCCTTAAACCCCGTCAACAACAACACTTTCTTTTTCCCGTACGCAACAAAGTAAGTCATCAAGTTATATCATTTATTACTATTCATCTCTTCACCAAATATATGCTAAAAATAAAATGTTTTTCATTTTCTTTAGGTATTGCGTGAGGGGTATGGATTACGGCAAGAATCCAAGATTCAATGTCGCACTATACCACAATCTGTTGGATCACTTAGGCCCGGATGATGTACGTCGTACCTTCAAACTTTTCTTCATTTAAATTATTTATATATTACGTTTTCGTTAACCTGATTTAAATTTTTTCGCAGTTCATCTGGAGACCATATTTGGGTTTGGGCCATGATCCAAACCCGGAGGATGCAACAATTTGGACCGCGAAGACTGCAATCATTTGGTTCAACATTGTGGAGATGCACCACAGCGGCCGTGTGAAGATGCAGTTCGGAATGCATCAAGAGATACCAAGTGATCCAACTTGTTTGTCCCCATGGCATCTCAAAAGGGTCGACGCCCAGTGGGGTCTTACCAACTGGAAAGACTTTGCTCCGGAATGGTGTAAGATGTGGCAGAGGCGTCACCGATATGTCTTGTAATTCCCGGTTTTCCTTAATCATGGTAATATACGACACACTGATCAATATTTATCTTGGTACAGGTAGGTTAGTAACCCTGAAATGCACGTGTCTCATCCAAGGTACTTGGTTGACCCACACACACAATGGGCACAACCCTCGTTTCCCCAACAACAAACCCAAAACCCATCAACCTCCCACTAACCCCCCAGAAGAAACAGAACCACAAACACCCAACCACAATCCCCACCACAACACAATTACACTCAAATGCCCCACAACCAACCACAATCACCACCTCACTACCAATACCCCCATATGCCTCACACCCAACCACAATACCCATTACGCCAAAAACTGCTTTTTGCAGCGCCTCTACTAAAGCGCTTATTGAAAAAGCGCTGCCATAGCCTTCACAAAAAACAAAATTAAAAAAAAGGGAAACCTACGAAGGCGCTTTTTTAAAAGCGCTGGCATAGGGTTCCCTACGAAAGCGCTTTTCAGAAAGCGCTTTCATAGGTATTTGAAATATCTAACCTACGAAAGCGCTTTTGAAAAGCGCTCTTATAGGGAACCCTATGCCAGCGCTTTTGAAAAGCGCTTTGAAAGGGGGACCTACGAAAGCGCTTTTTACCTCAGAAGCGCTCTTATAGGGAACCCTATGCCAGCGCTTTTTAAAAGCGCTTTCGTAGGTTGTTTTTATAATAAAATTAAAAATCCCTAAATCTATTCTTTAGTCTTCTTCATTTCTTTCGTTCAGATCTTCTTCAATTCTTCGTTCGTCTTAAGCTTCCTCATTTCTGCCGTCGCCGCCGTTCGTTCCTTCCTCTTCAGTCGTCGTCGCCGCCGTTCGTTCCTTCCTCTTCAGTCGTCGCCGCCGCCGGTCATTCCGTCTTCTCCACCTTGGTAAGATTCTGAATCAATATAGTGTAGGAATGGTTCAAGCTTAGCATTTTCCTTCTTCAAGCTTAGTATTACTCATTTACAAAACATTTTTCATCTTTAACAGTTGTTACTATATTATATATTACTTCTATGATAATCTCGTTTCTTTTTTCTGTGTTTGAAATTGATTCTCTGTGATGTGTTCTTCTAATATTCATTGAGGTTAAATTAGTGAGCTACTGACATACTCATTGTACCTTGCATGTTAAACTAATGAGTAACTATTGCCATATTGTCTAACCAATAGTGTCCGAACCTTGGATGATTCAATATAGAGGACAAAACTCATTAATAATAAGCTGCAAGTTTTGGAGAATTTGTTTTTAATATTGATCTATAAGTCTTTCAAAGAATCAATCATGAATAAAATGTCTGAATTGAAATAGAGAATAAAACATTTTTAACAAATACTTTGTTCATGTTTCCTAAGGATGAAGCCCATTTCCTTTAGGTGGGGACCTTTGACCATACCCTTGTCATCCTAACCCTTATTCCTTCAATGGTTGGAGGAAATAAGCCTTTTAAATACTTTAGGATGTCCCAAATATCTAAGATGGACTGGATTAGAGATGGTGACCATAAAACAATTATCTTTCATTATAGCATCAGGTATAGGAATAACATCAGTAGAATTAGCGCCATTAACAATAGTGGAGGAGATTGGTTAACTGATCCTGGAGAAGTCATTAAGGAGTTCACCATGTACTATGAAGATCTACTTGGTACCCCTATAGAAAACAAATTGAAAGCCTGTAAGTCCATTATTAATCAGGGGGAATTTTTTCCAGAGAGCAGCAGGATTGGTTGATTAGGGATTATAATGAGCTTGATGTTAAAAATATGTCTTTAGTATCCCTGGCAAGAAGGCCCCTGGCCCTGATGGTTATAGTAGCTACTTTCTGCAGGACAATTGAGAGATTATTGGTGCAGATGTGAGTAAGGCTATTCTTTCCTTCCTTAATTCTGGAAACTTGATGAAAGAGATTAATACCACAACCCTCACCCTTGTTCCTAAGGTAAAGTACCCTGCCTTGGTGATTGATTATAGACCTATAACATGTTGCAATGTTGTTTATAAAGTTTCTACAAAAATGATCTATAGTAGATTAAGAGATATTCTCCCAACCATTATAGCCCAAAATCAAGGAGGATTCATAAAAGAGAGATTTGTTGTGCACAACATTATGATCTTCCAGGATTTAGTCAAGCACTTTGGAAGGAAAATTGGAAAAGCTAAATGCTTGATAAAGCTTGATATAAGGAAGGCCTATGACACTATAGAGTGGGATTTCCTGGAGGAGATGCTCATAGGTCTCAATTTCCCTCAGAAACTTTGTTCTCTCATCATGCAGTGTGTCAAGACTCCTAAGTTCTCTCTCATGATCAATGGATTCTTACATGGCTTCTTCCATTCTAAGATAGGCTTAAGGAAAGGGGACCCGATGCCCCCTCTTCTATTTGTCATGTGTATGGAATAATTGTCGAGGATCATGAAGAAAGTTGGTAATATGAAAATATTTCAATTTTTTTAGAACTGTAAGAGTATGAACCTCAACCATCTTAGTTTTCCATATGATGTTCTGCTTTTCTATCATGGGGACTATGCCTCAATTTATACTATGTTGCAGGGTCTTCAATTATTTTCCAGGTCTTTAGGTTTCTATGCCAGCAAGGATAAAACTGAGATCTATTGTTATGGGATGAAGGATGTAGACATTAAAAGAAATATCTAACTTGACAGGTCTTCAGTACAAATGAAACGGTAGTGCTAACAGTGTCCTCAGTGTGTCATCAATAGTCTGGAACAAGGAAGTATACTTAATCTCCACCTCCAAAAAGATCTTGTGTTTCATCTAGATAGTTGAGAATTTTTTTTAATATTCTTGCATTTGCAGAATCAAATTTAAAGAGACCAATTCATATCATCATCTCATCCAAATGTGAGATCAGAACAACAACAAAAATGATTAAAAGCACTTATCTATTTTTTATTTTCAAATCCAATCATTTATAGCGAGAACTAAATAGTAATGAACAGCATCAAATAAGCCCAATAGGCTTTACAACTGATTGATTCTCAAATCTAATCCTTTCCTGTGTAGTTCTGAAGTTTTAATTTTTACATAAGTGAAATTAAAAAGACCCGGGAATTTATTATGTATATAAAAATTGAAAGCTCCATTGTCACTCTCATTTATCCTGCATTTATGATTTGTTTTCTTCTCTCTCTGAACCTTAGTATGAATTTTGATTGAATCACAGGGAGAAAGAATTAGCTGCTGTTAAGATAAATGCAGCAGATGTTGATATAATTGCAAACGAACTAGAGGTAACTTCTTCAACATGTACAGAAATCTATCTAGTAAGCTTACATTCCAATTAATTAACATACTTTTCTTATACAACAGTTGGACAAAAAGGTGGCTGAAAGAACCTTGCGTTGCTGCCATTCGTCATTTGCTTCACTAGTATGGTGGAAACAAATAAGGGAATGTGATCTATATTGTCAATGAAAATGTTTTGTTTTTAGTTACTCCTAAGTTTAACATGTTGTTTACATTCAAATCATGCAGCGGATAGTTCAACGATTTAATATCGATTGTGGTAGGAAAAAGCTGTGAAACTTTCTCCGATTGAAGAAATTCGAACTGTCCTTGATCGTAGTGTACGCGGGACGCTCTCAACATTTTCAAAGGTTTCTATCCTATTCTTGAACTGACTTGAATAACTGATTGTTTTTACTTTTATTTTCCGGCTCAGTGTGAATTTCTAATGATTATAGTTGAGTGGAATTCATGAGCTGCGGTTGTGTTTTTGTTTATATCCGACTTCACTAGTTAGTAATTAGTTATGAGTTGTTTAGCACATGCTTAAGGTGAGGCAAGAATAACTATGAATTTGATTACCTGATATGTTGAATTTCTTTACAGGTAATTAATTATTATTTTGCTATAGTTGCGTGACTAATTAGTTGCTATAGTCAAACCATGGATAAAAAATGGATGACTGCCAATCGATTGTCGAAAGAGTATGAGGATGGGGTATCAGAATTCGTTAAGTTTGCCGTTGCGCATGCCAGAGAACCCAATGGAATGATATGTCCTTGCTTGAGATGCTGTTATGGGAGACGGGTTGACGCGGTTCAGTTGGAATCGCATTTACTGATGCATGGAATTGATAGAAGTTATGCATGTTGGAATTTGCATGGTGAGAAAAGTAGCGGGAATGTTGAATCGAGTTATAATACGACGTATGCTTCAAATGAGGATTTCGCAGACGCATACGATTATGATCGAGTCGAAGAGATTGCAGAAGCGCTTGAAGAAGATCTTGAGGATTGTCCCAAAATGTTCGAGAGGTTGGTAAGCGATGCAGAGAAACCGTTGTATGATGGTTGTACAAAATTCACAAGATTGTCTGCGGTGTTAAAGTTGTACAACTTAAAGGCGGACAACGGATGGTCGGATAAAAGTTTCACACAGTTATTAGCCCTCGTGAAAGAAATGCTACCAGAGGATAATGTTCTTCCCAATCGAACGTATGAGGCCAAAAAGATTTGTCCTCTATTGGCATGAGCTATGAAAAGATACATGCATGTCCAAAAGATTGCGTTTTATTTCGAAACGAGTACGCAATGTTAAATGAGTGTCCTAAATGCGGTGCCCCTCGATATAAGGAAAATTTGTCTCCGGAAAAGGTGTTATGGTATTTTCCTATAATTCCGAGATTTAGGCGCATGTATCGTAGTGAGACCGATTCAAGACACTTGACTTGGCATGCAGATGAAAGAATTATTGATGGGAAGTTGCGACATCCGGCAGACTCACCACAGTGGACGAAAGTTGATATTGATTATCCTGAATTTGGAAAAGAAGCAAGAAATCTTCGCTTGTCGTTGTCTACTGATGGAATGAACCCGCATGGTATTCAAAGTATCTCGCATAGCACCTGGCCTGTGATTCTTATGATATATAACCTACCTCCGTGGCTATGTATGAAGCATAAGTACATGATGCTATCTATGTTAATTTCTGGGCCCAAACAACCAGGGAATGACATAGACGTGTACTTGGCACCCTTAGTCGAAGATTTGAAGTTTTTGTGGGAGACTGGTGTGGAGGTTTACGATGGGTATAGGAAAGAAAGTTTCAACTTGAGGGCGATGTTGTTTGGAACAATTAATGATTTTCCGGCGTACGGAAATCTATCAGGGTACAGCATTAAGGGTCAAAAAGCGTGTCCTGTTTGTGAAGATGAAACCGATACGATGCGATTGAACTTTTGTCAGAAGAATGTTTTTCTCGGTCATCGTAGATTCTTAAATTCTAATCATCACTATCGTGGGTGGAGAAAGGCATTCAATGGAGAGGCAGAACACGGTAGAGCTCCACATATGTTGACAGGTGATCAGATTTTTGAAAAGGTGAAAGATGTGAGTACTGAGTTTGGCAAGCCTTTTGCACATAGACTTGTCACGAGTGGGTGGAAGAAGAGGTCGATTTTTTTTAAACTTCCATATTGGAAGTCGTTGTACGTAAGACATTTCCTCGATGTTATGCATATTGAAAAAAATGTATTTGATAGTGTTATTGGTACGTTACTCAATATACAAGGAAAGTCTAAGGATGGCATTAACATAAGGAAGGACATGTTAAACATGGGAATTAGAACTGAATTGGCACCCGTGACGAAAGGAAGACGCACATATCTACCACCTGCTGTTTACACTCTATCTAGAAAGGAGAAGAAAATATTGTGTAAGTTCCTCAGTGAAGTTAAAGTTCCAGAAGGCTACTCATCAGATATTAGAAGACTTGTGTCAATGAAAGACCTAAAGTTAAAGAGTTTAAAGACTCATGATTGCCATGTTATAATGGAACATTTTCTACCAATAGGTATACGTTCTATTCTGCCAGAAAAAGTAAGGAGCGCAATAACTAAGTTGTGTTTTTTCTTCAAGTCAATTTGCAGCAAGGTGATCGATCCTGCGATCTTACCAACATTGCAAAAAGAGGTGGTTGTTACTTTATGTGAGCTTGAAATGTATTTTCCTCCCTCGTTTTTTGACATAATGGTTCATCTAGTCGTTTATCTTGTCAAAGAGACACAGTTGTGCGGACCAGCTTATATGAGATGGATGTACCCTGCTGAACGTTATATGAAAATTTTAAAAGGGTACGTGAAAAACCGAAGTCGACCGGAGGGTTGTATTGCGGAACGATACATTGTTGAAGAAGCGGTTGAGTTTTGCACTGAATATTTGTCAAATGTTCAATCAATTGGACTCCCCAAATCTCATATTGTCGAGAAAAAAGAAGGAAAAAGACTAATTGGAAATAAAGTTGTGACAGTGTCAATGGTCGAACGGGATCAGGTGCATTTGTATGTTCTGCACAATGAGATTGAGGTTGAGCCGTATGCTGAAATGCACAAGGGTGTTCTTCGAGGTTTAAATCTGAATAGAAATGAGAATTGGATAGTACGAGAGCACAATCGAAGTTTCATACCGTGGTTTAAGGAACAAATTTATTCAAAGTATCGTTCGGATCCTGCTTCAGTAACAGAAAGGTTGAGATGTTTAGCATATGGTCCAAGTATGATTGTGTTTTCTTATAGCGCATACGCAATTAATGGATACACATTTTATACCAAAGAACAGGATGATAAAAGTACTATGCAGAATAGTGGTGTTACCTTGGTAGCTGAAGCGATGCACATATCAAGTGCGAATGACTTAAACCCGAAATTTGCAAATCTGTCATATTTTGGGGTTATCGAGCGCATTTTGTTGTTTGATTACGGGAAGTT